TCGTCTGTCCCAGGGCCTGCATGTGTGTGTGTGTGTGTGTGTGTATGTGTGTGTAGAAGTGTGCACTCCTATTTTTGTCTGTCCGCCTCTGACTTGCTCTCCTAGCCAGAGTGCTCGGCTAATTTTGAGCTTGCTTCATGCTCTTCCCCTGATTTGTCGTTATCTCCAGTCTGGCGTATGGCTCTTTTTGTCATGCCAGTCAATGTGCTCATCCCTGTTTGCGTGTATGTGCGGTTGTGTGGTTGTGTGAGATTGTTCTCGTCATGACTGTCGTTGTTGCCCCACAAGTCTCCTTTAGGCTACAATGCCACTCAGCACACTCGCTGTGACACGCATCATGGGCATATGCACAGACGAGGAATGACGACAGGAAAGCACTCACAAATATGCGCGCACACACACACGCACATGTATGTACCTCTTCATTCAATAAGTCACTCGCTCTCTCTCTCCCTCGCACACACACACACACACACACACACACAGCCGTCCACTTCTAGGCGGGGCCACACATCTCAAGAATGATCCTTTTCTTGTCGCTAAGCCCATGTGTACACATGCAAAATCGATCGAAAATCAATTCACTTGCTACCTAGCCTGTGTGGTTGTGTCACCTCGGCTAGCGTAGACATTGGCTTGGAGAGGTCTTTTCCAAGTGCTCGGACAAGTCATTCCCCCTTATTCATTTGCTGGAGAGGCAGTCAGATGAAACCGAGACCTTCTACAGCCTGCTAAAGCACCAAGGTCGCTGGGCGACGTCGCATGGTGGACCCACCAACAGGGACCCAGAAAACCGGTCTGCTACCGTCTGCGAACGATTGGCTCATGATGAAAAGCGCTGTCCAACCAACTGTCTGGAGCTTAAGTGGTGTCTAGTCGAGGTCTGTGAGAACTGCCGAAGAAGAGTGAAACTCCAGGCAGCCGGTTCCACTTGACGATGCCATTTGCCTCCCTCCGGCTACGGCAATTGCTGGACTATGTGGCGTCTTGATTCGGCTGGATCCCGACGCTCAAGACCAACTTCACAGAAGGCGCAAAGATTCTGTAGATGCCGAGTTCTAACGAAAAATATCAAATCGACGGTCCGAAACTGGGAATTAGCATATCTACTCTGGCAGATAACATAGGACAAGGTGACCTCAGACAGGGTGCGTTCGTTTAGACCGCCCTGGCAACACGAAACCAACCACTTTGGGAAAACAAGGCTATGTGAAATTCAATGGAAAACTTCAGCTCTGCTCATATCATCACCTTAAACGAAATAGGGTGAACACAACTTAGATATATGATTTACTGGTATTCGCGAAAATCTACTCATTTAGGCAAAAAGTAATGTCATCTATTGTTATAGAAAATATCAGTTTGTTTCATCGACAAACCCAACACAGAATGTGACATGGAAAATACCTGACATTCCTTGAAATTCACATCTGCCCTGTGACCTAAGGGCACTCGTGGCGATGTGGCAGAGTGGTCAACGTGTCAATTTACACGTTACATTGTCATGGTTCGACTCCCGCCTGGGGTGTCGATAAGACCGATGCGAGGTCGAAACGGCAGTCCACTTCAGCCTGGATTAGGACAACTTTTGGCAAAGCACGGCTGTGTTAAATTCAATGGAAACGTCAGCTCTACTCATATCACTGTGAGAAAAGTCAATACTATTTCTTCATTGCCTCAAACGAAATCGGGTGAACACAACTCACTTTCAAGAGGTTGCAAGCCTTCTGGAGCCAGCATGGCCAGTTTGTGGCAAGACACCGCACACAATCTGTCATCCAGTCACTGCTCAGACGCAAAGACGTCACTTGCCTGAATGAAGGAGGGATTCACCAGATCCCGCTTGTGCTCGGCATTTGTGCCCGAAAGCGTTGCCTTTTGAACTGCCACCATTGTCAGGACGACTCTCCTTGGTCCCGGTCAGGCAATGAACTTGTCAAGCGGATTTTGTGACTTTAATGGACACTTCCATTCAGATAGAATTAGTGAGATTCTTCACCAGGCTTCCTCGCATAAGTCACAGGAAGCCTATGATATGGACAAGAATAAGCTATTTAAGTTTATGTATAATAACTCTTAGTTTATGCGTGATCTGGCCAGGATTTGACTCCGGAGGATTTTCACAAACTTCAGAGTATAGCCGGCAAGAAATCACCTAGTATCTCGGAATTAATAGCAAAAAAACACGGCAATTAATTGCTCGGGTGTGAAATTATAAGACAACGTAGAGTAAAGCCAGTTGGCCCAGTTGAAATGGCCTCAAAGGCGCCGAGACCTGCTAAACAGTACGACGAAGGGAACAAGCTGGTGAATTTATCCTCGCCTCCCCTTAAACCTGAGACCACTACGATCCTAAAGAGAGGACTAAGCCTTTTTCTTCAAAATGGCAGAAATATTCTAGAGGACATTCAGGAGACAAAATGGGAAATGGAGATGGAAATAACCCCTAGAATCTGGACACATGATCCAATGCACAAGAACAGATTTGCGAGGATACAAAGAACCCTGGAAAGGAATGAACAATTGGTCGTTCAGACGGACAAAGGAGGAGCGACAGTTGTAATGAACAGAAAACAATATAGAGAGAAGATTGCATGTATGCTGCAGGACAAGACTACCAACCATGAAGATCAATGGAATTCTACGGGATATGTTGAAAGATATGCACAGGAACGGAGATATTAATGGATTAACAACAAATTCACTAATAAAAAAGGATGCATGACCACCAACAGCCTTCGAGTCACCGAAGTTACACAAAGAAGAAGAACCACTAAGGAGGATAGTTAGCGA